CCATAGGAAATAATTAGATTACTTACAGATCTTAATGAAAAATTTAGATGTAACCAAATAGATAGACATGTATAAAAATCAAGAGAGCAGAAATTAGGTGAGGCAATCTCAATTTGCTCAACAGCTTTTTAGCCAATTCAATATTTTCCCTGATTCTAGTGGATGAGTGTGCTCGACTGTCCTTACAAACGAATTCATAATTAAAATAGTATTAAAGTTGGCAAGCGTGGAATGAAGCCGCCAAAATATACAAACAAAGCAATTCAGGTTAATTATTCACCTTTTTTCAATCTTCCTCCTCTCATCCTCGCTCGGCCACTGAATCACCGATCTAGACCATGCCAGTAAAGCGTCCAATACTTCATCGAATATATCAGTAACACTTGAACCCATCAGATTTAATCCCTTTAAAGCGTTCCCACGTCCAGCGAGCACTTCTAACGCTGTGCCAACTTTTATGGCTATGGAACTTTTCGCTGATTTGTGACGTTGCTCAAGAAATGAAACCAGGGCATCACATAAAATTTTGAAAGAATTCCGCGACATTCGGAATCGAAGCCTGAACTTCCGATCGCCTGAAGCGTCAGAAGCGTTCAGACCGTTTTTGTAGAGCGTTGATGATGCTGCTGAGCTTGTGCTATGAGGTTCATTCCTATCAGAGCCCCTAAAAATGCTACTACTAATAATAGTCATAAATAACATTCACGAGCTCCTACCTTACATTCTTCCTATCCTTTTCAGTTTCGAAAATAAGCCTGTCCAGCTCTTCACCTTAAATACGTCATCAACTTTTCAGTGAACGTCCAACATTACGCATACCTCTAAACGAAGTTGACTCGAAAGTTGCCGCTGAACTTGATGATGGCATAGACTGCTCCAGAAGATCCGCAGCAGAGATCCCTTCGTAAATTTCGGGAGGCTCCTCCTTTGATTCGATGATCAGTGGCGAAATTTGTTCTTCTGAAGGAAAAATTGAAAAAGAAGTCATCAAGTAAGTAAATTACACATATTTTTATCCAATCTTTCAGTGAGCACAAGCCGTCGTACAAATCTTAATTTTCTCTTCAAGCAATATAAAGATGAACAGATTCTTTTGATGCCTATTTGTTCAATGAATTAAAAATATTTACATACAACTTCAGGATGAAGGGGCTTTGAGCATAAAAGAGATGTTCACCTTGTTCTTTAAAGCCACAAAGCTTTGACGTCTTCAAGAAAAAACTACCATATTCAAAATAGTTTTGTGGTCACCGATACAAACTACAACATCAATCCTTGTATAAACCATTCCTTTCGAAGTTAAGGGTTCATTCTCCAGCCACTTCAAACGTTTTCTTATAGAATATGATGTTATTTTGATTAGAATAAACAAAACTTCTGGACCAAATCAAGCTGGTTCCAGAGGGATTGCTTAAACATCCAAAATACTATAGAATATAAACTGAGTGTAAAAAGGGGCTCTGAAGAGCCGTAAACACTTCTTTGGATGTCAAACATTAGATTACGCATTTCGAACTTTTCTTACAAAGGAAAAAAGAAAAAGTTGGAAAAGTTTATTAAAAGCGATGGTAAAGGTTAACTAAACTCACTTTCTGGTGTTGTCGCATGTAAATTCTGCTTCAAAGGTGAAATCTTCTCGCTTCTAAGCTCTTTTTCAGATGAAGTCTGAATAGGTAGTAAGAAGCTGGTTAAACAATTACATGGCATACTTATGCATACAAAATTGTGTTGATAAGATTGAAGAAAAAGATTGCAAAAAAATTAATAATCATTGTGAACAAGCCGTACCTGTTTTCTCTTTCTCGCGATCTTCAATTTAGCATCCATTTCCTCAACATTCCAACCATCAGCGCTATAGTATCTTGCCAAACACTCATTAAAAAATCTTGTTACATCATGAGTTTCTATGATGACTTCTTCCTGAATACGAAGTAACGCTAAAAGAGAAAAAGAGAATGATAAATAATAATATGTACATACATCAATACAATCACCAAAAACTTGGAGATGGGCCAGAAATACTTCAAGAACGTTCACTGGAACATTGTGCAGTCCATAAATGGGAAATTCACCATACATTTCTTTGATCTCACGACCAATGAAAGCAGCCTTCAATAAGATTCAAACTTCAAACAAAAAAATAGCAAAGACAATATATGTGCAAAGACTAACCGCTTTGACATAATGATCCTGACATATGCGCCGGCAAGCGCCAAGAGTTTCTTTGTAAAGCTTGGCCACCTTATCCATATCAACATCATTTTCCATCAATAAGCACGATAAAAAGATAACATTCTGATCTTTTTTCTTCGCTGTGCTACGAGCTTCCACCAATGGACGATGACGACCACACAAAGCACAACAGAAGTGGCTATTTCTGCAGCGTTAGCTATAGTTTGAAGAAAAATGAAACAACAACTTGTCACTCACGCTGTTTTTTCTATAACATGCTTTGAAACTGCGTCACGATTTGAGAATAACTCTTCGATTGTACCGTTAAAGGAGTTGCGTATTTGGTTAAGAGGTGCAGAAGAGCCTAAAAGAATGGATTACTAGCGTTCTAAATCAGTCAGACATGATATTCCTCTAATTCCTCAATGAGCTAACATCAACAAAATTAAGCCACTTCCTAGTCCTCTCGACTAGGTCTGACGCAAACTTGTCAAAAAATGTGATTTCCAACTCCCATGATGTCAAATATGAAATAAAGTGAAAATATGCTCGCTCTTGGTTATCGCAGATACGCCCCACTGGATAAACTCCAGCGAAAAAATTTTCAGAGTAAAGATAAAACCTTGTCAAATAGACTCATTAAACTCTTTTTATCACGTACCTGAAGCTGTTTGGTCCAAAGTAGAGATAGGCACATCAGATGTATCCTTAAAAGTGAACGCGAAATGGTTTTATAATATTCATTTGTGATAACCTACCCACCTTGACATCCGGGAAATCGTGGAAAAGGGACACATCTGCGTAGCCGTTCGATCTCTGGAGAAAAACAATTTTGGTTTCAGTGAGACTTCTCGGAGAATTAAGGAAAAAATGTGAAAAGCTCACCAAAAATTTGAAAAGCTTCTTACTTTCGGTAATGGTATTGATACCAACGACAACGTAAGAAATTGCTCTGAAAAGGATGTATGTGAAGTAATGCAAAGATTCGGGTAAAAACACTTTACAAAACAAGGTTTTGTTAAAGTCACAAACTCGCTTTGAAAGTGAACGTAGAAATACAGAAAATTCGCAAAATTGCGAACAAGTGACGCAAAATTTCACGAAAGAACACAAAAATTAACTCACTTATGCAACTTTGGACCATCGATAACTTCACTTCCTGACATCTCATCCATGTGAAGTCGTTTTTAGCGTTCTTCACGAAGATTTATGCATCAATGTAAAAGTGCAGATGTCCGTAGCCTGCATTTACAGGCGGATTGTTCGGAGAAGAAATTAGTGCAAATGCGGCCCGTCATTTTACGCTATATCTACAACTTCGAACTGTATAAAATATTCATCGGCCTTGGAACTGGGAAACCTTTATAGATGTTCGTAGTTCTTTTTTTATACAAACAAATTAGCGGTTTGTGCTCAACGGCAGCGTCTAGCAGTCTCTTGAGCATATTTTTTTTTAAAAAAATTCTAATTGTTTTTATTGCAATGCATTTGCGTAATTTTCCTATTCTAAATAGTAAAAATAAAAGACGGACCTGGACACGCCAAAATCGACTTTTCCTCTTAATCTAGTCTATTTGCATAGATTATGGCATGATCATCTAACTTGATTTTTTAGCTGCATGTGCAGGGAAAT